CAAAAGAGAAAGCAAACTAATATCATATTCCACCATTCAGAAATTAAGTCAACATAATTCTGAAATATTTCTATGAATGTATATAAGAATAAATAGATGGAAACAATTTTATAAAATTGATCTATAATAAATTAATAGCTTCTAATTAAAACTATCAGATTGAATATAATAAAACAGAAATGAAACTATAGAACTTGCTTCAGCTTAGATAAATAATCCCTATAAGGTCAAAAAACAAAATTATCATGCATATTAAGATATTAGCATTACTTAGCTGCCTGCTTAAAATGAGCAAATATGTTTATATCTCCCTTCTTTCCTCACCTTACTTACACCTTTTGTGTTTTATATATATTGTTACCTTATCAATATTTATAACATTTACAATGTGTTTTGAAAGGATAGTTCCCATAATTGTTTAGACACTTTATATTTTTAAAAAATTTAATTTGAAGTCATATAATTCTACACTTTTCAATTTCATTCAAGTGAGACTGCCCAGAGACAACCACATTGATGCTTTTAACTGTTTTTTTCCCACATTTACTTCCATATTTCTAAATCGCATGCTTATAAAATGCTTTCTTTCAAATTTTTGTTTTGGTCTAACCTCTTTTGAAAAATTTCTGCTCATGTCCTTTCCCTACTTTTTAATGGGGTTGTTTGCTTTTTTTCTTTCTGGTTTTCCTGAGTTTTATATAGATTCTAGTTATCAGCCCTATATCAGATGTATAGCATGCAAATATCTTCTCTCATTCCGTAGGCTGTGTAGTCATTCTAGTGATAGTTTCTTTGGCTGTGTAGAAGCTTTTTAATTTAATCAGGTCCCATTTATTTTTGTTGTTGCTGTGATTGCTTCTGGGGTCTTCTTCATAAATTCTTTGCCTAGGTTGATGTCTATAACAGTTTTCCCAGTGTATCAACGTTTTCGTCTAGAATTCTTATGGTTTCATGCCTAGGTTTAAGTCTTGTTAGCCATTGCAAGTTGATTTTTGTGAGAAGTGAGAGGTGTGGGTCCTATTTCAGTCTTCTATATGTGTCTATCCGATTTCCCAGCACCATTTATTGAATACAGATTCTTTTCCCTAGTGTGTGTTCTTGTCTGCTTTGTCAAAGATTAGATGGCTATATGAGGATGGTTTTATATCTGGATTCTAAGTCCTGTTCCATTGATCTATTTCTGTTCTTATGCCAGTACCATGCTGAATTATTGCCAAATTTTCTAAAGTCTAAAGCTCCTAAATTTTGTGTTTAAAGTTGTAAAAATATCTGTCAGTTCCATTCTTTTCTCTTGGAGCTGTCCTGGAGCTATTCAGATTCTTGCTCAACTGTACACTATTTGTTCTGTAGACCTATCGTACAGCTGGCAGTTTGCTTTACCCACTAACCTGGGAATATTTTCTGTCCCTCCTCTATTTGATTTCATTTTATGGATTTTGTGTCTTCCTCTTGTTTAGTTTACTCCCTTGACTTATTGAAGAATATTTGGTAGTAAATTTATTGAGAGCTTGAATATCTAAAATTTTCAGATGTCAAAAAAATCTAATGTCTATTTAAAGAGCTTGTTAAATGTAGAATTATAGATTAAGAATTATTTGGCATTAGCATTTGAAGGTATTCCTCCACTGTCTTTAATCTCCAATGTTATGATGTTCATCAACATTCTGATTTCCAATTCTTTTCTGAAAACCTTTGCTTCTCCTGTAGATCCCTGGTTCTCAACCCCACAAAATTTTGCCACCAAGCAATATTTGCCAATGTCTGGAAATATTTTTGATTGTCACAGCTGCCAATAGTGCTTAGACTGAAAAACTTAACTCTAGATAAATTACAGTTCTTATATTTATCTCTGAAAAATTTAACTCTAGATAAATTACAGTTCTTATATTTATCTCCATTATTATAGAATTTCATCGTGTCATAGCATAAGAATTTTGTCATTTGTTGTACTAGTTATTCAATGGGACTTGTCAATCTTGAGATGTATTCTTCTGACTAGGACAGGGTTGGATTTTCTACTTTAAAAAATTATTTCCTCCATTCAATTTTTTAATTCTATAACTCCTGTTAGTTGTATACGGATCTCCTTGATTGATATTTCATTTTTCTTATCCTTTTTCTATTTACTATCTTCTGTCTTTATTTCCCTGGACCTTAGTACTAGATTTTCTCAACTGTTTTTCATCCTTGTCACTAAATTTTAAACTTTTGCTATCAAAGTTTTATTTTCAACAAGCTCTTTCTTATTCTCTGAATGTTTCTTTATATAGCAGCCTTTTAGTTTTTAATTTTTTTGGTGAGTGTAATTCACAAAGCATAAAATTCATCTTTTAAAAAATTGAAGGCCGGGCGCGGTGGCTCATGCCTGTAATCCTAGCACTCTGGGAGGCCGAGGCGGGTGGATTGCTCAGGGTCAGGAGCTTGAAACCAGCCTGAGCAAGAGCAAGACCCTGTCTCTACTATAAATAGAAAGAAATTAATTGGCCAACTAATATATATAGAAAAAATTAGCCGGGCATGGTGGCGCATGCCTGTAGTCCCAGCTACTTGGGAGGCTGACGCAGCAGGATTGCTTGAGCCTAGGAGATTGAGGTTGCTGTGAGCTAGGCTGATGCCACAGCACTTACTCTAGCCTGGGCAACAAAGAGAGACTCTGTCTCAAAAAAAAAAAATTTAGTTCAGTGGTAGTATATTCAAAAGGCTCTATAATTATTACCACTATCTAATTCCAGAACATTTTCACATTTTCATCACCCCAAAAAGAAACCTGGTATCCACTAGTAGTCACTCCCCATTTCTTCCTCCCTCCAGCCCCTAGCAACCACTAATCAACTTTCTGTCTCTTCGGATTTGCCTGTTTTGGACATTTCATATAAATGGAGTCATACATATGTAGCCTTTTATGTTTGGCTTCTTTCACTTAGCATAATGTTTTCAGGGTTCATTCATGTTGTAATATGTATCAGTACTTCATTCCTTTCTATGGCTGAATAATATTCCATTGTATAAATGCACCACATTTTGTTTTTCCAGTCATTAGATTTCCAGTCATTTTCCAGGCATTTGGGGTTGTTTCCACCTTTTAGCTGTTATGAATAATGTTGCTAGAAACATTCATGTACAAGTTTTTGTGTGAACATATGTTTTCAATTCTCTTGGGTATATATACCTATGATTAGAATTGCTGGGTCATATAGTAACTCTATATAACTTCTTGAGGACTTGTCAAACTGTTTTCCAAAGTGACTGCACTATTTTACAGTCCTCTCAACAGTGTATGAGAGTTCTAATTTCTCCACATCCTCACCAATACTTGTTATTTTCTTTTTGACTATAGCCACCCTGGAAGGTGCAAAGTAATCTCTTATTGTGGCTTGATTTGTATTTCCCAAAGGAAAATGCATAGCTTGAGAACGTTTTCATATACTTATTGGCCATTTGAATATCTTCTTTGGAGAAATGTCTACTCAAATTCTTTGCCTATTTTCTAACTGAATTTTTTATCTTTTTATTGTTCAATTGTAGTTCTTTATATATTTTTTATACTAAACTCTTATCATACATATGATTTACAAATATTTTCTCTCATTCTTTGAGTTGTCTTTTCACATTATTGATAATGTCCTTTGAAGTGGAAAAGTTACTTTTTTATTTTGAGGAAGCCTAATTTATCTATTTTTTTTTTCATGAGGCACTAAAAAGCTGATTAGATATTGTGTGTTTGGGTGGGAATAGTTGAGTGGTAGCTTAGGTGGGAATAGTTGAGTGGTAGACCGCACTTTAGAGTAATGAAAAACAGGAAACATTTCACTTGGGGACCAAAAGTCAGTATCTATAAATCATTTTTCTATGCAGATATTTCCAAGCATGTCATTTATTTATTTACATATAGTAAGTATAGTTTGTTTCAAAATCTGTCTGGTAATTCCAACAGCTGAAGTTTGTGTGAGCCTATGTCTGCTGTATTTTGTTTCTTCTTGTTGTTTTTTATGCTATCTTTGTTTCTTTGTTGAACTCACATGGTTGATTGACCTTGAAAATTTATTTGTGGAGTGTCCACAAAGTCTAGGTTGTATGTTCCATCCTTCAAAATGTATTTTCACTTGTTTCAGCTAGGATATTGGAAACACTATCAGTAGTGAACCACCACAAACTAAGTGTATGGCTGGAGCTTCCTTGCATCTCAAGCTATGCATATACAAAATACAAATATACATGAAAGCCAGGTGCAGTGGCACACACCTGTAGTCCTAACTACTTGGGAGGCTGAGGCAGGAGGATTGCTTGAGCCTAGGGGTTGGAGACCAGTCTGGGCAACAGAGCAAGACCCTGTCTCAAAATAAAATACACATGAAGACCAATCTGTAGCTACAACTTTCCAGGCATATATATATATATATTTGCTTTTGCTTTTGCTTTACTTAACACCAGGGAGACTTCTATATAATTCCCTGGAGTTGGAGAGGGATAATAGGTTTATATTTGTTGGCATTCACACTGTATTTACATTATGAATGTAGACCTGTGGGGGCTTCCAGTTCACTTTAAAATGAAAATAAAACTTGACAAGCTCTACCAGTCTGCTCAGAGCTATTACTCAACTCTTTAGTCTCCCAAACTAAATGAAGAACAGATATCTGAAACAAGTTTCCGCTGAAAGGAAATACAAAAATCAAAGCAAAGACAAAAAGATAACTTCAAGAGAAGTAGAGAAAGGATTCAAGTAAGTTCAATCAAATGAAAAAAGAGACATTACAACTAATACCACAGAAATACAAAAGATGATTCAAGACTACTATGAATACCTGTATGCACACAAACTAGAAAATATAGAGGAAATGAATAAATTCTTGGAAACACACAAACTTCCAAGCTTGAATCAGGAAGAAAGAGAAATCCTGAATGGACCAATGAGAACATTGAATTAGTAATAAAAAAATCTCCCCCAAACAAAAACAACAACCATCCAAACCCCAGGATCAGATGGATTCACAGCTGAATTCTACCAGACCTACAAAGAAGAACTCCTACCAATCCCACTGAAACTGTTCCATAAGATCAAAGGAGGAAATCCTCCCTAACCCATTCTAGGAAGCCAGTGTCATCCTATGCCAAAGCCAGAAAGGACGCACAAACAAACAAAAACTACAGACCAATATTCCTGATGAACATGGATGAAAAATCCTCAATAAAATACTAGCAAACTGAATCCAAAGCACGTCAAAAAGGTAATTTACCACAATCAAGTGGGTTTCATCCCAGGGGTGCAAAGATGGTTCATCATATGCAAATCAATAAATGTGATTCACCACATGAACAGAATTAAAAACAAAAACACGATCATCTCAATATATGCAGAAAAGACATTGGATAAAATCTAGCACCTCTTCATGACCAAAAAAAAAAAAAATCTCAACAAATTAGACATAGAAGGAATACTCCCAGAAATAATGAAGGCTACATATGACAAATCCACAGCCAACATCATACTGAATGGGGGAATAGTTGAAAGCACTCCCCCTAAGAACTGGAACAAGCAATGCTTCTAATATATTGTGAGTGAAAGAGCTAGATTTGGCATGAAAGGGCTAAAATTTAATCCAACATAATAAGGAGTCAATTGATAATACCTAAAATTAACTAATCAAAATACCTCAGAAAACAGATTAGTGGCATAAGAAGTAATTAAGAGTTGAAAAATACCTATCTCTTGGGAGGAGAACTAAGAAAAATAAGAAAGGAAAGGGCAGAAAAACAATGTATTTTATTATAAGCCTCTTAGTGTTATTTAATTTTGAACCAAGGTCATAGATTGTTTTGAAAAAAAATTCAAAATATCAGTAAAATGGTGCCCTTGCAAAATCTCACCAAGAATAAAAAGCAGGTAAAACACTAAACATTGCTATTAAGAATAGGGATACAACTAAAGACAAATAAAATAATGAAAATATAATACCAAGAAATTTGAAACTAGATAAAATAAATGCTTTTAAAAAGAAAATGCAAATTACTTAAAAAGAAAACAAATCACCTGAATATATTAATAACCAAAGGTAAAATAGAAAAGGTAGTCATTGATCTACCAAAAGTGAAATCACCAAACCTAACCAGTTCAAGAGGCAAGTTTTAATTAAGCATGTAGAAACAGATAATCACATAATTATAAAACTTTTCTGATGTATAAAATAGGTGGACAGCTTCTTAACCCATTTTATAACACCAGTATGGTAATTTAATGCCAAGACCATAAAAGCTAAACACCCTCACACACATACACACAGAATAACATGGGCCAGAAAAATCCTAAAACCATGTTGACACATCAAATCCATCTATGCATTAAAATGATAATACATTGTAGTTAAATGTCATTTATATCAAGAACTCAAAATTTTAAAACCTGAAGGAAAAAGTATAATTTCAACAGATGTCAAAAATTACTTTAAAATAAGCAAAAGAATAATGAAGAAAACTTTTTTGATTCAAAAGAGTATTTACCCCAAATTGAGATCAACCATCATAGTTAAAGATGAAATACTAAAAGTACTTCCATAAACACAAGATGGACCTATTTGCTACTACTAATTTTAAGAGTATTCATTGGATATTGGAGATTCTCCTGAAATTACAGGTGAACAATAATTGGTATATTATACTTAAAGCAGGTGAACAGTGAAGGCTGGGGGTGGGGGAATGCAGAAAGTGTTCCGGAATATATTATGGGTTAAGAGTGAAGACTTTGAAAGTAGGATGGACTAATTCCCAAGAAACTGAGAGGCCAATTATTCCGCTGTAGGAACATCATTATTGTTGAATGGTTTACAAATAAATAAAACCTCCTCAACAAATATTTGTTGTCTTTTGGAAGAGGCTTCATTTTCTTATATATTCTTTACTATCAATTTTTAAAACAGGAGAAAGTTTTCTTGGGGTTTTGGTGAGGAGACAGTTAAATTTCATGCCCCTAGATTGAAGAACAAAATAGATTTATTTTTCTACGAATTCAGATTATAAGAGGGGGGAAACGACATAAAGCTGTTACTTACTAGCATTATCGCGACCATTTGAAGGAAAAAGATGGAGCGAAACAGCAAAGGCAGTGGGGGGAAGAAACACACTCCTTGCAGAACGCCTTCAATCCACCACCTTTCTGTTCTGTTCTTGAGAACGGGAATAACACACACAAAACGCAAGGTGGCGCTGTAGGCTAAAAAGAGGGGGGAAAAAAATACAGGGACAAAGGATTCCAAGCGTAAAGAGGAAATCCGACCAGAAAACTAGAGGAAAGGAAATCACGGTGATTGGAATGGGAGGAGAGTGAGGATCCCTCCGCACAGGCGTCGCTACTACTACCCAGCCCATTTCCAAGGACTCGCTTGCTGCCGTTTCCGAGAGCTGCGTGAAGCCGAGTGGAGGTGGTTTTGAAGGACCGATGGCACGAAGCGCGGAGGCCAGCCTGGGGCGCGCCGCGCGGAGAAGGCAAGTTCTCTATCTTTGTGTATTTCTGGGAGTGTCTTGGGCCCGCGCAGAACCGCTCCGGTATTTCGTGGCGGAGGAAACTGAGCGAGGCAGTTTTCTCGCCAACCTAGCAAGCGACCTGGGGCTGGGGGCGGGGGAACTGTCAGCCCGGGGATCCAGAATTGTGTCAGACCAGGGCGCGCATTTTTTACTGCTCAGTCTGCTTACTGGTGACTTACTTCTAAATGAGAAATTGGACCGGGAGGAGCTGTGCGGCCCCACAGAGCCCTGCGTGCTGCCTTTCCAGCTGCTACTAGAAAGGCCTTTCCAGATTTTCCGTGCTGAACTATGGGTCAGAGATGTCAACGATCACTCGCCAGCATTTCTGGATGCAGAGATTCCCTTGAAAATATTAGAAAGCGCCACTCCAGGGACAGCATTTCTTCTGGAAAGTGCACAGGATTCGGACGTTGGAAACAACAGCCTGAGTAACTACACCATCAGCCCTAACTCCTATTTCCATATTAATGTCCGTGACAGCGGGGAGGGGAGCATCTACCCGGAGTTGGTACTGGATCGAGTCCTGGATCGCGAAGAGATACCTGAGCTGAGTTTAACCCTGACGGCCGTGGACGGGGGCTCTCCGCCCAGATCGGGGACCGCCGCGGTGCGCGTCCTGGTGGTAGACATCAACGACAACGCCCCCGAATTCGTGCAGTCTCTCTACCAGGTGCAGATGCCCGAGGACAGCCCGACTGGCGCCCCGGTCGTCACGGTGTCCGCTAGAGATTTAGATACCGGAAGTTATGGGGAAATAGTCTACGCATTTTTCTATGCCACTGAAAGAATTCTCAAAACGTTTCAAATCAACTCAACGTCCGGCAGTCTGCACCTTAAAGCCGCATTGAACTATGAGGCAATTCAAACTTACACATTAACTATTCAGGCCAAAGACGGCGGAGGGCTTTCCGGGAAATGTACTGTGGTGGTTGAGGTAACAGATATAAATGATAATGCGCCAGAGCTGCTCGTGTCATCATTTACTAGTCCAATTGCGGAGAACTCGCCGGAGACAGTGGTTGCTGTTTTTAGGATTAGAGACAAAGATTCAGGGAACAATGGAAAGATGGTGTGCTCCATCCAGGACGATCTCCCCTTCGTCCTGAAACCATCCGTGGAGAATTTCTATACTCTAATGACAGAGAAACCTTTAGATCGAGAAAGAAACGCCGAGTACAACATCACCATCACGGTCACTGACCTGGGGACACCCAGGCTGAAGACGGAGCACACCATAACGGTGCTGGTCTCCGACGTCAACGACAACGCCCCCGCCTTCTCCCAAAGCTCCTACACCCTGTTCGTCCCCGAGAACAACAGCCCCGCCCTGCACATCGGCAGCGTCAGCGCCACAGACAGAGACTCGGGCTCCAACGCCCAGGTCACCTACTCGCTGCTGCCGCCCCGCGACCCGCACCTGCCGCTCGCCTCGCTGGTCTCCATCAACGCGGACAACGGGCAGCTGTTCGCCCTGAGGTCGCTGGACTTCGAGGCCCTGCGGGCGTTCGAGTTCCGCGTGGGCGCCGCAGACCGAGGCTCCCCCGCGCTGCGCAGCGAGGCGCTGGTGCGCGTGGCGGTGCTGGACGACAACGACAACCCGCCCTTCGTGCTGTACCCGCCGCAGAACGGCTCGGCGCCCTGCACCGAGCTGCTGCCCAGGGCGGCAGAGGCCGGCTACCTGGTGAGCAAGGTGGTGGCGGTGGACGGCGACTCGGGCCAGAACGCCTGGCTGTCGTTCCAGCTGCTCAAGGCCACGGAGCCCGGGCTGTTCAGCGTGTGGCCGCACAATGGCGAGGTGCGCACCGCCAGGCCGCTGGGCGAGCGCGACGCGGCCAGGCACAGGCTGGTGGTGCTGGTGAGGGACAGTGGCGAGCCCGCGCTGTCTGCCAGCGTCACGCTGCACGTGCTGCTGGTGGACGGCTTCTCGCAGCCCTACCTGCCGCCGCCGGAAGCGGCCCCGGCCCAGGCCCAGGCCGACTCGCTCACCGTCTACCTGGTGGTGGCCTTGGCCGCGGTGTCGTCGCTCTTCCTGTTCTCGGTGCTGCTGTTCGTGGCGGTGCGGCTGTGCAGGAGGGACCGGGCGGCCTCGGGGGGTCGCTGCTCGGTGCCTGAGGGCCGCTTTCCGGGCCACCTGGTGGATGTCAGCGGCGCGGGGACCCTGTCCCAGAGCTACCAGTATGAGGTGTGTCTGATGGAAGGCTCGGGAACCACCAGTGAGTTCAAGTTCCTGAAACCCATTATTCCCAACCTTTTACCCCAGAGCACAAGGAAGGAAGTGGAAGAAAATCCCTCATTTGGGAATAATGTAGGTTTCTGAAAAATAATGAAAAATAAATGCTGGGACTGTGAATATATTGCTAATTAGAAGCTTATCCTGAGATACCTATACAAGAGTGTTTTCACATTATTTCAAATATGTACTCTTAAAGTCAAAGAATAAATTTCTTTACATAGGAAAGGACACAGATTTAGCTCCAGGAACCCTCCACAAAGCATGAAATGTGTATGTATCATGTTTTATAGCAAACAATTATGCTTATTGTGTGGTGTATTAAGAGGTAAATCTTATTTCTGACGTTTTAAATTGCTCTCCATTGTCTTCAATCTTTATTGCTTCTTTCATTTTGTTGATTAGAGTTGATTAGAATGCTGTATAAGTATGGGTACCCTAAGTTTGAGAAGCATAGAGTGTACATTTTTACGCTTTTTAGAAAAAGAGCACTTTCTTTGCTTCATGCACTATTTTAACATTTTTAATCTCAGAAGAAACCTATGAGGTGAGGTATTTTGGAAATGAGCAAATGGATGTTCATAGTGATTCAGTAAATTTAATCAGGTTACCAATGAATAAGTAGCAGAGCTAAGCATCTCTCCTACATCTGTCTAATTCTGAGTCAGTGACCTTGCTCTGATGGTATACTGTTTCTCTCATTAGATATCACCTGGCAAGTTTCTGCCTAATTAAGGAGAAGAAGTCTTTGTCTCATATTCATAATCTTTAACAATCTTTTCTGTATTTAGAAATAATATGTGCATATTGGTCTATGGTTTCATTTTCTCATAAACCGGTAATCCAGCTTTTCTGGGTCAATTTTTCAACTATTACTATTAATGCTCTGATCTAACCAAACCTCAAGTACAAAAAAATTTGAAAGATTAACATGTGTCTTCTCTTCCTCATCTGAACACATGACTTTTGTTTCATAGAAAAGGTTAATGATCCTGCACAGAAATATTACATAATTTTGATTGCTTCATTGGTTTATTATTTTCCTCACCTTGCAGTAATTTTTCTACCATCATTCATACCTGCATTGGTAATGCATTTTTCTGATTTAATTTTAGTGTTTGCTTTTAAAAGTTTCATACTCATTATACCACAGTACTGAATCTGGAAAATTTAAGAAAAAGAATAGTTTTAAATGTGTAATATCAAAGAGAAATTTAAAAGACCATTAATTTTTAGAAATTCTGAGGAGCTAAGGAGAAGTTTTCTTTGTTATAATAATCTGTAACTGCTTTTTCTTTAAAAACTTATCTAGATAATTTTTGCATGGTTGTGTTCTGAAATATTATAAACTAGGGCTGGTAACTTTAAAAATAGTTGTATTACTGTACATCACTAGTGGGATATAGTCTAGGGACAAAAACTCACAGCAGTAAATCTTAAATTGTTTCATAGTCTCAGGATAAAATTATCCAGTTTTTCCAGCAAATAAATGGCATGGAAAATGGGAAGAGGGAAGCTCACACAATGAAAGATCTTGAGAGACATGCCAACCAAAGGCAATGTGTGGTGGATCTTGTTTGGATTTGTATTCAAATGACAACAATGACTTTGAAAGACCTGGAGGAATTTGAATATAGCTGGATATTAAATAATGTTAGCTTAATTTCTTAGGTATGATAATGGGAGTATACTTAAGGGTTTTTAAAAGTCATGGACAGTTAGAAATGCATAATGAAGTGTTTGTGGGTAAAAATTCAGTTTGCCTGGAGTGTAAAAATGTTAGAAGGTTAAAGAATTATGGCAAAACATTGATGATTGTTGACACTAATGATGAGTACATGGGAGTTCATCATACTCTTCTTTTAGGGGGATTGCAATTTTTCAAAATAAAAGGTTTTTAAATGATGCTGTGAGAAGAGAGTGGAGGTACCAAAAAGAAAAAAAAGATATCCTTCCAGACACAGAATCACCACTGTTTTCACAGATCCTACCTGTATTTAGAAAAACTCTCTAGCCTTTCCATGTTCAGTCACTTTCATTTTTAGACATGACAAGTTCTATCTAAGACAGTCCTGCTCATTCATTCTCCTACCATGTGAATTTCAAGGTATTTTTCTAGCCATAGAAATGGATTCGTGTATATTCAGCTACCTGGTGGCATCAAATTGCCATATGCTGTATATATATAGTTTATTTATAAGGTTAATCTCTCTCTGCATCAGTTTCTTCATGTGTAAGGTGAAGAATTCGCAACAGCCCTATGTGGCAGGTACTATTATGATCTTCACCTTACAGATAAGAAAACTAAGGCAGAGAGAGGTTAAATAATCTGTCCAAGGTTCACAGCTACTAATTATTTCCATGGTTCATGACAAGAAAAGTATATCATTCTAAAAGCTTCCTGTTACTCCAAGCATATATATTTTCTGTTTTGCTGCATTGCATATATTCTCTCTTCCCAGTCAAGTTGTTACCTAAATATTTCCTTTTTGCCCCAAACTCAAATAGCATTATTGAAAGAGTCCCCACTAATGTCATTTCTCTTGTTTGGCCTTCAGGCAGCTGTCTGTCCAATAAGGTCTGACGGTAGTAGAGGTAGTGTTGTAACTTTACATAGCTGCGTGGTACATGTAGGCAGAGTTGGGAACGTTGCATCCATTTTCATCCTACGAAGTGTGAGATGCTTTGAGGACGCGTGGTGGCGCTGCAGGATAAGAAGGTACGGACCGAACAGCAGCTGCAGCTCCATTAACTTGCAAAATTTACCATCGGAGCCTGAGAGCCCACCAGAAGCGTGGATGCCAAAGAAAGGCAGACTGGGTCCTCTGAAAAGGACTACTCGCTGGAATATTTCCGAGGTATAATATCTGGTGGAATTACCGCGGTCTCAGACACCAGGGATTTACAGTTCTGCAGAGCCACCCTCACAGGAGCCTGTACTCAACAATGGAGCCCAGCGGGAAGCTCATTTGCAGACAAAGGCAAGTCCTGTTTTCCTTTCTTCTCCTTTTGGTCTTATCTGTGGCGGGCGCGGCGGAACCTAGGCGCTATTCCGTGTTGGAGGAAACTGAAGGCAGTTCCTTTGTAACCAATTTAGCAAAGGACCTGGGGCTGGGGCAGAGGGAACTCTCTAGGCGGGGAGTTAGGGTCGTTTCCAAAGGCAACAAACTACATTTGGAGCTTGATCAGGAGACAGGAGATTTGTTGCTCAGTGAGAAACTGGACCGGGAGGAACTGTGCGGTCACACAGAGCCCTGTGTGCTACGGTTCCAGGTGTTGCTAGAGAGTCCCTTAGAATTTTTTCAAGCTGAGCTACAAGTGGTAGATATAAATGACCACTCTCCGGTATTCCTGGACAAAGAAATGTTGCTGCAAGTATCAGAGAGCAGTCCTCCTGGGACTACATTTCCTCTGAAGAACGCTCAAGACGTGGATGTAGGCCGAAATAATATTGATAATTATATAATCAATCCCAACGCCTATTTTCGGGTCCTTACCCGGAAACGCAGCGATGGCAGGAAATATCCAGAGCTGGTGCTGGACAAAGCTTTGGATCGAGAGGAGGAACCTGAGCTCAGGTTAACCCTCACAGCACTGGATGGTGGCTCTCCACCACGGTCTGGCACCGCCCAGGTCTACATCGAAGTCGTAGATGTCAATGACAACGCTCCTGAATTTGAGCAGCCTTTCTATAGGGTGCAGGTCCCAGAAGATAGTCCCATAGGATTCCTGGTTGTCACGGTCTCTGCTACGGATGTAGACATAGGCATCAATGGAGAAATTTCCTACTCACTTTTCCAAGCTTCAGAGGAGATTAGCAACACCTTTGGGATCAATCCCTTGACAGGAGAAATTCAGCTAAAAAAACAACTTGATTTTGAAGCAATTCAGTCCTACGAAGTCAACATCGAGGCAAGAGATGGTGGAAGCTTTTCGGGAAAATGCACTGTTCTGATTCAAGTTACTGACGTGAACGACCATGCCCCAGAGGTTACCATGTCTGCATTTACCAGTCTGATACCTGAGAACTTGCCAGAGACTGTGGTTGCAGTTTTCAGTGTTTCAGATCTTGATTCCGAAGAAAATGGGAAAATAAGTTGCTCTATTCAGGACGATGTACCTTTCTTCCTGAAATCTTCTCTGGAAAACTTTTACACCCTACTAACAGAGAGACCTCTGGACAGAGAGAGCAGAGACGAATACAACATCACCATCACAGTGACTGATTTGGGGACACCCAGGCTGAAAACACAGCTCAACATGACCGTGCTGGTGTCCGACGTCAACGACAACGCCCCCGCCTTCTCCCAAAGCTCCTACACCCTGTTCGTCCCCGAGAACAACAGCCCCGCCCTGCACATCGGCAGCGTCAGCGCCACAGACAGAGACTCGGGCTCCAACGCCCAGGTCACCTACTCGCTGCTGCCGCCCCGCGACCCGCACCTGCCGCTCGCCTCGCTGGTCTCCATCAACGCGGACAACGGGCAGCTGTTCGCCCTGAGGTCGCTGGACTTCGAGGCCCTGCGGGCGTTCGAGTTCCGCGTGGGCGCCGCAGACCGAGGCTCCCCCGCGCTGCGCAGCGAGGCGCTGGTGCGCGTGGCGGTGCTGGACGACAACGACAACCCGCCCTTCGTGCTGTACCCGCCGCAGAACGGCTCGGCGCCCTGCACCGAGCTGCTGCCCAGGGCGGCAGAGGCCGGCTACCTGGTGAGCAAGGTGGTGGCGGTGGACGGCGACTCGGGCCAGAACGCCTGGCTGTCGTTCCAGCTGCTCAAGGCCACGGAGCCCGGGCTGTTCAGCGTGTGGCCGCACAACGGCGAGGTGCGCACCGCCAGGCCGCTGGGCGAGCGCGACGCGGCCAGGCACAGGCTGGTGGTGCTGGTGAGGGACAGTGGCGAGCCCGCGCTGTCTGCCAGCGTCACGCTGCACGTGCTGCTGGTGGACGGCTTCTCGCAGCCCTACCTGCCGCCGCCGGAAGCGGCCCCGGCCCAGGCCCAGGCCGACTCGCTCACCGTCTACCTGGTGGTGGCCTTGGCCGCGGTGTCGTCGCTCTTCCTGTTCTCGGTGCTGCTGTTCGTGGCGGTGCGGCTGTGCAGGAGGGACCGGGCGGCCTCGGGGGGTCGCTGCTCGGTGCCTGAGGGCCGCTTTCCGGGCCACCTGGTGGATGTCAGCGGCACGGGGACCCTGTCCCAGAGCTACCAGTATGAGGTGTGTCTGACCGGAGGATCAGGGACCAGCGAGTTCAAATTTCTGAAGCCTATTTTACCCAATTTCCAGGGGCATTCCCCTGGGCCAGAAATGCAAGAAAGCTCTAACTTTACAAATGACTTTGGTTTCAACATTCACTTAAAATAATCATTGTTCATAATCCACATTTTAACTTTTATTATAAATTCAATGTAATGGTTTTTGTGCCAACTTATTATGAAATTTAAATTATATTAAACTTGCCTGTAGGATTTCTCATGTCGCTGTGTTTTAAAAAATGGTATCTTATCTTTTTCTTCTTTACTATATATATCAACATGAATGGTCTTAAACATCAAAACACTGATGAGGTCAATTAGTTGTACAAATCTTTGTTCTGGAATAGTTAGAAATGTATAAGATGGGAAATAGTGGAAAATTCCACGTAATCAATCGTCTTTCATTGTAGATTTTCTTATTCTTAAATCATTAGATATATAAAAGCAGTAATACACGAACATAGTGAAGTGTAATGGGGAAAGAGAACTGGTACAATAAGAATGTTTGTCTTTCATAGCACTAAACTTCTTTGGTGATGTTTTCTCTTAAAATGTTATATAACTGTGCTTCCTTTCATTAATATATTAGTATTAATTTTAGTATAATTATTTTAAGTTGTTTCCACTTAATTTCATTGGTGTTAAAAGAGAAAGAAAGTGATACTGTATTTATCTAGCGAGATGAAGTAGCATGGTGGTGAAATCAGCCTTTTCCCTTTGAGAAATACTGACCATTTGTGGCAGAAACTGTAGTGGCCATTCATATCCATTTATGTTTCCTTTTTGAGTAACAGATCGCAAGTTTCATTTATGGCGTTAGTGTGGTTAGTCAATAGAATACATTTTCCCAGCCTCCTTGGTTTTTACAACAGGATGTATTACTGGGTTATAGTTCATGAGATATGTGAAATGTATAAATGTTTATTCTAGAAAGTCATTCATACCACCAAAAAAAAAAAGAGAGAGAAAGATAAATAATTTTTTAAGAAGAAAAAAAATAAAGAGAAAAATATTAAAAAAAGAAAAAGAAAAAAATGTTATAGGACACTTCCAAGAAGACTATTTAAAGAGATATGACTCATCTCTAGGAATGAGTCCCCTTTTTCCCCTTAACTCCTCCATGCTGCCTGGCATTCGTATGTTATGGTTAGCACACACACACACACACACACACACACACACACACACACACACAGCTATATCGGACCCTAATGATGGAAACAATGAGCTAAGGCAGTTAGTATAAAACAAATTTAAAAGAGACAAGAGTCCCTGATGACCTTGGAGTCATTCTATGTTTGCATTGCCTACTTTTGAAGATTTTTTACTTAAAAAATAAAGAAAATTGTATCTTATTTAAGCCACCAATTATTTTAGTTTTTATGCTTCCTCCAGTGGAATGTAATCATAATTCTTTAATAGTACAATTTTTAATTAAAATATTATATTTTCATTAAAATGCACAGATCTTAAATGTACTATTTAATCTAACTGTTCTTTAAGCTTTTATTTCTTGATTTCTAATTTAGTTAAAAGTGGTATACAGAGTGCTTTACATTTATTATCTCTTAAATCTTTTACCAAACCCTAAGGGGGTTGGCATATTATCCCATTTTTTACATATGAGAAACTGAAGCTTATAAATTTAAGTAACTTGCTCATAATTCTGAAGTAATAAAAGGAAAAAATTGAAATATAATCTAAGTCTATCTAATTCCCCTGTTCTTAACCAATATGCCATATTGTGAGACATTAATTGGAATATTGTTTTCTAAGTAAGCAAGTGAAATTTATCTATTATTCCTACCCCTATTTCATGGACTAAACTCTCATGTGGAAATGTGACTTTTAATCTATAGTTTGTATTTGTTTCTACATCAATGGCCATACTGCTCTAGACAAAGAAGCCTAGAATTCCTACAGTGCCCTAAGTAAGCTGGATCAGACACCACCAATGACCTTGATGACGAGTGCATCAGCCTGGTTATATGCCTGTACCTTCTCAATATGGCACATAGATTACTGCAGAAATGAATTTGAATAGGGAGTAGAGTTAGCTTATGGTTGCCTTTCTCGAATTTTTTATGCTCTTTTTTCAGTCTTTTTCTGATACACACACAGAGATACATTTATATATACATATATGAAACATGTGTTTTCTTTGGGAAGCTGAAACTTGCTTATTACATACATTTTCATAAGTCCCTTATTGAAATTAAATACCCTATATTCATTTTAGCTTACCATTTGTTTGAAAGCTGTTGCTATTCTAGCATTAATTCTCAATGAAATAACTGATTTCAGAAAAATAAAGGTGGCAATGTTGTGGAGGAATTTTTATCACTTAATAACTTAGAGATTCTGGAAATTTAGTAGGAATAAACTTGATGGGCTCCAGTTATTTTCTGTTAAAACTACCTTTATGTCATTGCAACTCTCTTAGAAAGTATGCTGAGGCCGGCACGCGTGGCTCACAGCCTGTAATCTAGCTCTCTGGGAGGCCGAGGCGGGCGATTGCTCGAGTCAGGAGTTCAAAAGCAGCTGAGCAAGATGAGACCCTGTCTCTACTATAAATAGAAAGAAATTAATTGGCCAACTAATATATATATAGAAAAAATCAGCTGGGCATGGTGGGCATTCCTTAGTCCCAGCTACTCGGATAGTTGAGCAGAAGGATCGCTTGAGCCCAGGAGATTGAGGTTGCTGTGAGCTAGGCTGACGCCATGGCACTCACTCTAGTCTGGGCAACAAAGTGAGACTCTGTCTCAAAAAAAAAAAAAATTATGCTGAAAGCCAGGTGTAGTGGCTCACACCTGTAAATCCTAGCACTTTGGGAAGCCAAGGTGGGAAGATTGCTTGAGGACAGGCATTCAAGACCAGTCTGAGCAATATAGCAAGAACCTCATCTCTAAAATAAATAGCTGGCATGATGTGTGTGCACCTGTGATCCAGCTACCAAGAGCTGAGGCAGTAGGATTGCTTAAGCCCAGGAGTTTGAGGTTCAGTGACCTGTGATGATGCCATTGCACTCAAGACAAGGTAACAGAGTGACATCCCCCCCCAAAATGCTAAAAATGTGTGGCTTTATTGACTTAAATGACTTTTTCGAAAGAATGACTTACCATAGCTGAATCAGTATTCTTCAGCATTGCTGTGATGATACTGTCTTGTAGAAATAATAATTCTTACTCAGTTGCTGGTACAAAGGAATCCATATGTGTTTAGTATTAGTTTCTATTGTTGCTGTAAAAAATTACCACAATTTTATTGCTTAAAACAATAAAATGTAATCATATTACAGTGTAGATCAGAAGTCCAATATGGTTTTATCGAGCTGAAATCAAAGTATCAGCAGGAATGCATTCCGTTCTGTGTGTAGAGAGAGTCCATTTCTAGACACTGCCCACGTTAAGGTGGATCATGGCCCTCTTTGTCCATCTTCAAATCCAGCAACAATGCATTCCTGACCATTCTTCAGTAGTCACAGCTCCCTCCAACATGGCCAGGAAAGTTCTGTCCCATCCAGATAAGACAGGATAACCCCCCTTCACAAGTACCCTAGTTTAATCACATCTGCAAATTACCTTTCCATGTCAGTAACAACTTGGCAGATATGGGAATTGTGGAGGGCATCTTAATGGCCATTATTCTGCCTACTACAGGTTGCTGCTTGGAGAAATATGTAGTCTAGCAGTACCACTTGTGGCCAAAAGAGGGCTTATACCAGGAGTTTAAGCTTCATTGATAAGATGATTTAATCCAAGACAAAGTGATTAACAAACTTCTAAAAGTCACTAACAAAAGAACTGAATTAATAATTTTTTTTTCTTTTTTTTTTTTGCCTAAACTAGGAGTTCAACTGAATTAATAATTTTATCTTAATTTTTACTGTAATTTTAATTATGAAAACAGAAACCCAAACAAAAGAATTCAATCTGACAAGGACTTGTACCCAGAATACATAAAGAACTCTTACAACTCAATTATAAAATGGCAATAACACAATTAAAATGCAAATGTGAATAGAGATTTCTTCAAGGAAATATATAAAATGACTAATAAACCCATGAAAAGATTTTCAACATCATTACTTATTTGGGAAATGCAACAAAATCACAAGATAACACACAGATGACTAAAATCAAAAGTAAGATACAAAAAGTGTGGAGAAATTAGAACCCTGTTACACTGCTGGTGGAACATAAAATAGTGCAGTCACTTTGTACAACAGTCTGGCAGTTCCTCAACTAATAAACGTAGAAATGCCATCTGACCCAGAAATTCTCTTAGAGAATTAAAACATATGTCCATATGAATATTTGTACATGAATGTTCATAGTAGCATTTCAATATACCAAAGTTGGAAATGTCTACCCCAATGTCCATCAAAGGATGAATGAATAATCAAAATGTGATATACCTGTACAGGAATATTATTGGCCATAAATAAGAAATGATGTATTGATACATCTACAACTTGAATGAACCTTGAAGCATTTTGCTAAGTGAAAGAAGTCATCACAAAAGTCCACATATTATTCCGTTCATATGAAAGTCCAGAATAGGATACTCTATAGAGACAGAAAGTAGAACAGTTCTTGCTAAGGGCAAGAGGGATGGAAAATTGGAGGGGGGGAGGAAGAATGAAGTGTTAAAGTATACAGAATTTCTTCTGAGATGATAAAATGTTCTAAAATCATGATGATGATGCACAACTCTGTTGAAATCTTAAAAGCCATTAAATTGTATATGCTAATGGGTGAATTGTATGGTTTGTGAGTTATATACCATTAAAAGCTGTTTTTAAAAAGGATAAAACAAAATTATTCTTGTCAGATAAATATAAAAGGAAACCAAAAGTGTGACAGCCCAACTTTGAGATCTGCAATTTAGTAAATAATTTTCCAATAATGTGAAAGTTGTGAAATCTTCTGTGAACAGTCCCAGGCTTAGTGTTGAAAGGAGAGGAAGTAGTCTATTCTATAAAGCATGTGCTAAATACCTCTTTAGAACTATCACTGATTGCAATTTTGAAATGCCTACTCATAGTGTCTATGATATGTACCCTGAAAAGACTACTGTGGAACCGTCCTCATGTTGCTTCAGAAACATTTTGCTCCCAAATGTATACTCCTCTCAGCTTAAAATTTAAATTATTTATGTAATCAATAACACCTCAACAGCATCAGACAGTAACATAAGTGAAAAGTTTGCTCTTTGCAATCCCTCCCTGTGCCACCACAGACTCTGTCTACACACACAACAGCCATATGAAAATAGAACCCAGCGTTCATGTTGCATAGCCTATATTCAGTACATCCAGAATTTTGCCCAGTACTAAACACAGAAATAGTAAACGCGTGGTGGCGCTGCAGGCTAAGATAATGAAATCAGAATTGCCTACGCAGCTCCAGTATCAGCCAAACCGTTTCGCACCGCGCTGAGAGCAAAAGAAGAGCTTTCTCAGCCAGAGCAAAAGAAAGAGTGAGCTTCTTTAAAACGCTTTCAACGGCTTCGTTCTGACGTCTGGACTGCAGGATCGCGCTACCAGGATCCTGGACATACCTAAAGCTCCTGTGGACCAAATTTTAAGGAAAGAGCAATGAGATCGATGGAGCGCAATCAGAAACAAAGGCAGTCTCGTTCTTTTTTGCTGAGCGTGCCTGGTGGGCGCCGAGTTGGCCCTATTCTGTAGTGAAGAAACGGAGAGAGGCTCTTTTGGGCAAATCTAGGAAAAGACCTCGATTGGGGTGACAAGAATGTCACCGGGAGTCCGATCATTTCCCAGTGGAACAAGGAGCATTTGCAGTCGCGGGTCAACTGGGATTGCTCATAAATAGAAACTAGATCGAGAGGAATTGTGGTCCCACTGAGCCATGTGTACTATATTTCCAAGTGTTAATGGAAAAACCCTTAGAAATATTTCAGGCTGAACTGAGGGTGAGAGATGTAAATGACAATTCTCCTGTGTTTACTGAAAAAGAAATGCTTCTTAAAATTCCGAAAACAGTCTCTAGGAAATGCATTTCTCTGAATAATGCTGTGGACCCTGGAATGTAGAAGCAATAATGTCAAAACTACAAAATCAGCCCCAATTCTCATCTTCGGGTTCAACCGAGAACGCAGAGATGCAGGAAATACCCAGAGCTGGTCTGGAAGGAGCTGGATCGGAAGAGGACCTGAACTAAGATTAATCCTGACTGCGCTGGATGGCGCTCGCAGCCCGGTCTGGAAGCCAAGGTTCGCATTGAAATAGTGGACACCAATGATAACCCCGGAGTTTGAGCAGCCTGTCTACAAGCAGTGCAGATTCCGAGGACAGACCTGTTGGCTCCTGGTTTCACTGTCGTCGCCAGAGATTTAGACAGTGGAGTCAACGGAAAATATCCTACACACTCTTTCAGCCTTCAGATGATATGAGCAAACTTTGGAGGTAAACCTAGACAGGAGAAATTCGACTGAGAAAACAAGTAGATTATGACGGTACTGTCTTACTGAAGTGGATATCAAGGCCACGGACGGGGAGGTTTTCAGGAAAATGCACTCTCTCCTGCAGGTCGTGGATGTGAATGATAACCCCCCAGCATGACCATGTCTGCACTCACCAGCCCTCCCAAGAGAACTCACCTGAGACTGTAGTTGCCGTTTTCAGTGTTTCAGATCCTGACTCGGGTAACAATGGGAGACAATCTCCTCCATCCAGGAAGACCTTCCCTTTCGTCTACAAACCTTCAGTCAAGAACTTTACACTTGGTAACGCGAGAGCACTCGACAGAGAGGCAAGCAGTAAACATCACCATCACCGTGACTGACTTGGGACACCCAGGCTGAAAACACAGCTCAACATAACCGTGCAGGTCTCCGACGTCAACGACAACGCCCCCGCCTCTCCCACCCTCCTACACGCTGTTCGTCCCCGAGAACACAGCCCGCCCTGCACATCGGCAGCGTCAGCGCCACAGACAGAGACTCGGGCTCCAACGCCCAGGTCACCTACTCGCGCTGCCGCCCCGCGACCCGCACCTGCCGCTCGCCTCGCTGGTCTCCATCAACGCGGACAACGGGCACCTGTTCGCCCTGAGGTCGCTGGACTTCGAGGCCCTGCGCGGCGTTCGAGTTCCGCGTGGCGCCGCAGACCGAGGCTCCCCGCGCTGCGCAGCGAGGCGCTGGTGCGCGTGCGGTGCTGACGACAACGACAACCCGCCCTTCGTGCTGTACCCGCCGCAGAACGGCTCGGCGCCCTGCACCGAGCTGCTGCCCAGGGCGGCAGAGGCCGGCTACCTGGTGAGCAAGGTGGTGGGTGGGACGGCGACTCGGGCCAGAACGCCGGCTGTCGTTCCAGCTGCTCAAGGCCACGGAGCCCGGCTGTTCAGCGTGTGGCCGCACAATGGCGAGGTGCGCACCGCCAGGCCGCTGGGCGAGCGCGACGCGGCCAGGCACAGGCTGGTGGTGCTGGTGAGGGACAGTGGCGAGCCCGCGCTGTCTGCCAGCGTCACGCTGCACGTGCTGCTGTGGACGGCTTCTCGCAGCCCACCTGCCGCCGCCGGAAGCGGCCCCGGCCCAGGCCAGGCCGACGCTCACCGTCTACCTTGGTGGTGCCTTGGCCGCGGTGTCGTCGCTCTTCCTGTCTCGGTGCTGCGTTTCGTGGGTGCGGCTGTGCAGGAGGACCGGCGGCCTCGGGGGTCGCTGCTCGGTCCTGAGGCCGCTTTCCGGGCCACCTGGTGGATGTCAGCGGCGCGGGGACCCTGTCCCAGAGCTACCAGTATGAGGTGTGTCTGATGGATGGCTCCGGAACAAGTGAGTTCAAGTTCCTAAAACCAATTATCCCCAACCTCTCGCCCCAGTGCCCTGCGAAAGAAATAGAGGAAAATTCTAACTTCCACAATAGTTTTGGATTTAATTATTGATAAAACCCATTTAATAAAGACATTAACTTCTTAATATTGCCTCCTTTGTTAAACTAAATTGTTGATGCTCACTACCCCCAATAAGGTTCTATTTCATTTTTTCTGTTTGATTGGTCATTAATTTCCAATTTTATGCTTAATTTCACCATTTTCCTTTTCCACATATTTATGCCAATGAAGTGTTTCTCATCAAATAGCCATTAATGAATTAAGCTTTAGTTTCAAAGTTAATATCATCTTTTAAAAATTCTTATACTCTATAATTGTCTGAATTTACTTTATATTAATTATTGCTATATTATTTATGTTCTCACTTTTGTAGAACTTCTTCAAGTCTTAAAATAATGTGCTGCTTATAATAATGTGTATTTTCTATGTCATATTTCTTTAGTCTATTTTCCTTTCAAAATTGTTGTTCTTGTTGGTTTATCATAATCAATCTTCATAACACTTTTTGTAAATTATTTTACTTTTTCAAAAGTTCTACCTTGCCTGATCAGAGAAATAAATCTCTGATCAGCCTTATCTAAAAATAAGAAAGCCATTGTAGGATATTGAGTGCATGTAAATGTGTTTAAGCTTGAAGATGAAAAGGCAAAGATTAGGCCTTCTATACGATTATGTAGAAATATTTAAAAATTTGTTTATTTTAATTCTGAAGGAATAAATCAGAGGTCCCTGCTAAGTTTTTAATTACTAACAATTAGTCCCATGAAGTTAAAAAAAAAGAAGTCATCAGATAGAAGTTTATATGGTGTGGTTTTTATATTCAACAAAGTGTTTTTTGCTTGTTGTATCGAGGCCTTTCTGTGTACAATATCCCTAGGTTTAATCTGTATCCTTTGCTTATTATGAAAAAATAGATATTAGGCATTTGAATAAAATTCTATGTGAGTCGGATATTATAGTGTAGTTCCTACCTTCAATAGTGTTAGGAGAGATGCTAGTTTGATCTATTCTTTACCTCCTTTTATTTGGTGCAGAGAAATTGGATCCTACTAGATTTCAATTAAGAAAGACCTTAAAATAAAGTTCAGTCACTTCTTTAATTCTGCAAATTATTTTTTAAATCTAATATTGAAAAAAGAAAGAAAGAAAACAGAAATTGCAAAGTATGAGTAAATGAAAGAACACAATTTTCTAGTGGTAGGGATTGAAACACACTAAATATTGTTTCATGTCCTACTCATTAGAGTTTATTTATGTATGCCTTAATACAGCAAGAATTTAGTGAGTGACTAATTTGCCTACCAAAGATGACTGATACATAATTGTCCTCAAGTGGCTCACATATTGACCAAGGGACAGAATGGCATGAAACAAGAGGCAATAACACATACAGGGTAATCATAGTTGTATGCATAAGTTTTAAGAGAAGCACAGAGGAAGGACAACCTAAATGCTTGGTTGATTATTCTGTTTAGGCAATATGATAATATTTTGAAGAAGGTTGAAAATGAGGTTTGGTATTTTTTGTCAGTTTTTGGTGTTCCTATGCCCAATGTTTCTGGAAAAGTACAATATATTGTTTTGGTTGTCCCAGAAGGTACCCACAGTTTTTCCTTTGGTTGCTTAAGAGTTGTGTCAGAGACAAAAGGCCTAGTACAGAGCTAAATGTGGCACAGTGAAGTGAACAGAGCTACTGTTAGAAACATTTTTCACTGTTGAATTTTTAACTTTTCCCATGAAGAATCACAAGAACATGAACGGTTTTCTATCTTAACATTATTTTTTCCAAACAAACAAAAGAAAATAATAATAAAAATTTTAAATAAGCCACTAAATGAAAATTTTGTAAGTGCATAAAACACACAAAATTGGGTAAAGCCATTTCGGTGTGCTGGAAGCCACACGGTGGCGCTGCAAGCTAAAAAGACGAGGGGTGGGGACTTGAATTGAGAACGCTATACAAGTCCCTAACAAAAAAAGGAAGATCCGGACAGATCAGCTGGGGAAAAAAGCTGTAACAGCCCTAGATTGGGAAAGCAAAAGGAAAAAAAACCCTAGGTCCCTGCTACTATTAATACATAAGTGTGGGGTTTGCAACTGCTGATTACATCCGGCGCTGAGATTGTGACTGACAAATGAGGAAACAGTGAGCTATGGAGGCTAGAGGGTTCTGCTTCTCAAGACAAAGGCAAGTTTTATTTCTCTTTCTATTTTGGGGAGTGTCATTGGCAGGTTCTGGGTTTAGACGTTATTGGGTAACAGAGGAAACAGAAAGAGGATCATTTGTGGTCAATCTGGCAAAGGATCTGGGACTAGCGGTGGGAGAACTGGCTGCAAGGGGAACCAGGGTGGTTTCTGATGATAGCAAACAGCACTTGCTCCTGGATTCTCATACTGGGGATTTGCTCACAAATGAGAGACTGGACCGAGAGAAGCTATGTGGCACCACAGAACCCTGTCTGCTGTATTTCCAAATTTTAATGGATAACCCCTTTCAGATTTACCAGGCTGAGCTGAGAGTCAGGGATGTAAATGATCACTCACCAGTGTTCCGGAACAAAGAGATGGTATTAAAAATACTAGAAAATACAGCAGAAGGGACAACATTTCGACTAGAAAGAGGACAGGATTCAGATGGAGGACTTAATGGAATCCAAAACTACACCATCAGCCCCAACTCTTTTTTCCACATTAAAATTAGTGACAGTGATGAAGGCATGATATATCCAGAGCTAGTGTTGGACAAAGCGCTGGATCGGGAGGAACAGCGGGAGCTCAGTTTAACCCTCACGGCTCTGGATGGCGGGTCTCCACCAAGATCTGGGACTTCCGCTATTCGTGTAGTGGTCATGGACATCAATGACAATGCCCCGCAGTTTGCTCAGGCACTCTACGAGGTCCAGGCTCCAGAAAACAGCCCGGTAGGGTCCCTTATTGTTAAAGTCTCCGCAGGAGATGCAGACGCAGGAGTCAATGCTGAAGTAGCCTATGCATTTTTTGATGCTTCTGAAGATATTCCAACAACTTTTCAAATTAATCCTTTTTCTGGGGAAATCATTCTCAGAGAGATGCTTGATTACGAATTAGTACAGTCTTACAAAATAAATATACAGGCAATCGATGGTGGGGGTCTTTCTGCAAGATGTACGGTTTTGGTCCAGGTATTAGACACCAATGACAATCCTCCTGAACTGATCATATCATCGCTTTCTAACTACGTTGCTGAGAACTCTCCTGATGTGGTCCTGGCCGTATTTAGGATTAAAGACAGAGATTCAGGAGAAAATGGGAAGACTGTTTGCTCCATTCAAGATTATCTGCCTTTCCTTCTGAAACCTTCTGTGGATAATTTTTACATCCTAATGACAGAAGGAGCCCTGGACAGAGAGAGTCAAGCCGAGTACAACATCACCATCACCGTCACTGACTTGGGGACTCCCAGGCTGCAAACCCAGCAAAACATAACGGTGCTGGTCTCCGACGTCAACGACAACGCCCCCGCCTTCTCCCAAAGCTCCTACACCCTGTTCGTCCCCGAGAACAACAGCCCCGCCCTGCACATCGGCAGCGTCAGCGCCACAGACAGAGACTCGGGCTCCAACGCCCAGGTCACCTACTCGCTGCTGCCGCCCCGCGACCCGCACCTGCCGCTCGCCTCGCTGGTCTCCATCAACGCGGACAACGGGCAGCTGTTCGCCCTGAGGTCGCTGGACTTCGAGGCCCTGCGGGCGTTCGAGTTCCGCGTGGGCGCCGCAGACCGAGGCTCCCCCGCGCTGCGCAGCGAGGCGCTGGTGCGCGTGGCGGTGCTGGACGACAACGACAACCCGCCCTTCGTGCTGTACCCGCCGCAGAACGGCTCGGCGCCCTGCACCGAGCTGCTGCCCGGGCGCAGAGGCCGGCTACCTGGTGAGCAAGGTGGTGGCGGTGGACGGCGACTCGGCCAGAACGCCTGGCTGTCGTTCCAGCTGCTCAAGGCCACGGAGCCCGGGCTGTTCAGCGTGTGCCGCACAATGGCGAGGTGCGCACGCCAGGCCGCTGGCGAGCGCGACGCGGCCAGGCACAGGCTGGTGTGCTGGTGAGGGACAGTGGCGAGCCCGCGCTGTCTGCCAGCGTCACGCTGCACGTGCTGCTGGTGGACGGCTTCTCGCAGCCCTACCTGCCGCCGCCGGAAGCGGCCCGCCCAGCCAGGCCGACTCGCTCACCGTCTACCTGGTGTGGCCTTGGCCGCGGTGTCGTCGCTCTTCCTGTTCTCGGTGCTGCTGTTCGTGCGGTGCGGCTGTGCAGGAGGGACCGGCGCCTCGGGGGTCGCTGCTCGGTGCCTGAGGGCCGCTTTCCGGCCACCTTGGTGGACGTCAGCGGCGCGGGGACCCTGTCCCAGAGCTCCAGTATGAGGTGTGTTGACGGGAGGATCAGGGACAGCGATTCAAATTTCTGAAGCCTTTTACCCAATTTCCAGGTTCCCTGGCCCAGAAATGCAGAAAGCTCTAACTTTACAAATGACTGGTTTTCAACATCATTAAAATAGATATTGTTATTAATCCAATTCTTAACTTTTATTATAAATTCATTAATGGTTTTGTGCCATACTTATATGAATTTTATTAATTAAGGCGGGCGCTGTGGCTCGCCTGAATCTAGCCTACTTGGGGGGAGGCCGGGAGGCGGCGATTGCTCAAGGTCAGGAGTTCAAACAGCCTGAGCAAGAGCGGACCCCGATTCTAACTATAAATAGAAAAAATTAATTGGCAACTGACTATATATTAAAAAATTAGCCGGGCGCGTGGCGCATGCTGTGTAGTCCAGCTACTCGGGAGGCTGAGGCTGGATGTCACTTTGAGCCAGGAGGGTTTGAGGTGCTGGTGAGCTAAGTGACGCCATTGACTCACTCTTGCCTGGAAAAAAGTGAGACTCTGGTCTCAACAAAAAAAAAAAAAAAATTATATTAACTGCCTGTAGATTTTCATGTCGTGTGTTTAAAAATGGGTTCTTATCTTTTTTTTATATATCAAATGAATGGTCAAATCAAACACTGATGAGGTCATTAGTTGTACAAATCTTGTTCTGGAATTAGTTAGAATGTATTAAGATGGGAAAAGTGGAAAATTAGTTCACATCATATCAATGTCTCATGTAGATTTTCTTATTTTAAATCATTAGGATATATAAAAGCAGTGCATACACGAAATAGTGGAAGTGTAGATGGGGGAAGAGAATGGTACAATAAGAATGGTTTGTCTTTATGCATAAACTCTGTTGGTATGGTTTATCTTAAATTCTTTACTTGCTTCTTCTTCATGATATATTAGTATTAATTGGTTAGTATAATTATTTTAAGTTGTTTCCACTTCTTTCATTGGTGGTTAAAAAGAAAAGAAAGTGGGATACTGTATTTTTATTAGCGAGATGAAGTAGCATTGGGTAGGTGAATATCAGGCCTTTTCCATCTTTGAGAAATACTGACATTTGTGGAAAACTGTAGTGCCACTCATTCTATTCTTTCTTTTTGAGTAACAATCGAAGTTTCATTGTATGGCGTTAGTGGTGAGTTAGCAATAGAATAATTTTCCCAGCCTCCTTGGTTTTACCAACAGGATGTATTACTGGGTTATAGTTATGGAGATATTGTGAAATGTATAAATGCTTATTCTAGAAGTATTCATACCACCAAAAAGAAGAAGAAAGATAATATTTTTAAGAAGAAAAAAATAAAGAGAAAATATGTAAAAAAGAAAGGAAAAAATGTTATAGGACACTTCCAAGAAGACATTTAAGAGAGATATGACTCATCCTAGGAATGAGTCCTTTTTTCTTAATCCTCCATGCTGCCTGGCTTGTATGTTATGGTTAGACAAACACCACACACACACACACACAATACACACACAGGCGCTGATATCGGCCCTAATGATGGAAACAATGAGCTGGAAGGCAGTTAGTATAAACAATTTAAAAGAGACAAGAGTCCCTGATGACTTGGAGTCTTTATGTTTGCATTGCTACTTGTTGAAGGTTTTTATTAAAAATAAAGGAAATTTGTATCTTATTTAGCACAATTATTATTGTTTTTATGGTTCCTCAGTGGATTGTATCAATTCTTAATAGTACAATTTTTTATGTAAAAGTATTATATTTATTAAATGCACAGACTTAAATGTTAATCATTATCTAAGCTCTTTTAACTTTTTTAGTTTCTTGTTAATTTGATTAAAGTGGTATACAGAGTGCTTTACATTTATTATCTCTTAAATCTTTTACCAAACCCTAAGGGGTTGGCATATTATCCATTTTTACATATGAGAAACTGAAGCTTATAATTAGTAACTTGCTCATAATTCTGAAGTAATAAAAGAAAATTGAATATAATCTAAGTCTATCTATTCCCTGTTCTTAACCAATATGCCATATTGTGAAATTAATTGGAATATGTTTTCTAAGTAAGCAAGTGAATTTATCTATTATTCCTACCCTATTTCATGGACTAACTCTCAGTGGAAATGTGAATTAATCTATAGTTTGTATTGTTCTACATCAATGGCCATACTGCTCTAGACCAAGAAGCCTAGAATTCCTACGTGCCCTAAGTAAGCTGGATCAGACACCACCATGACCTTGATGACGAGTGCATCAGCTGGTTATATGCCTGTACTTCTCAATATGGCACATTGATTATTGCAGAAATTAATTTGAATGGAGTAAGTTAGATTGCTTCTCGAATTTTTATGCTCTTTTTTCAGTCTTTTCTGATACACACACAGAGATAACTTGTATATATACAATATAAAACATGTGTTTTCTTTGGAAGCTGGAAACTTGCTTATTACATACATTTTCATAAGTCCCTTATTGAAATTAAATACCCTATATTCATTTTAGCTTACCATTTGGTTTGAAAAGCTGTTGCTATTCTAGCATTAATCTCAATGAAATAACTGATTTCAGAAAAATAAAGGTGACAATGTTGTGGAGGATTTTTATCACTTAATACTTAGAGATTCTGGGATTTAGTAGGAATAACTTGATGGGCTCCAGTTATTTTCTGTTAAAACTACCTTTATGTCATTGGCAACTCCTCTTAAAAGTTATGCTGAGGCCGGGCACGGTGGCTCACGCCTGTAATCCTAGCTCTCTGGGAGGCCGAGGCGGGCGGATTGCTCGAGGTCAGGAGTTCAAAAGCAGCCTGAGCAAGAGTGAGACCCTGTCTCTACTATAAATAGAAAGAAATTAATTGGCAACGTCAATATATATATAGAAAAATCAGCTGGGCATGGTGGGGCATTCCTGTAGTCCCAGCTACTCGGAGGTTGAGCAGAAGGATCGCTTTGCCCAGGAGATGAGGTTGCTGTGAGCTAGGCTGACGCCATGGCACTCACTCTAGTCTGGGCAACAAAGTGAGACTCTGTCTCAAAAAAAAAAAAGTTATGCTGAAAGCCAGGTGTAGTGGCTCACACCTGTAAATCCTAGCACTTTGGGAAGCCAAGGTGGGAAGATTGCTTGAGGACAGGCATTCAAGACCAGTCTGAGCAATATAGCAAGAACCTCATCTCTAAAAATAAAATAGCTGGGCATGATTGTGTGCACCTGTGATCCCAGCTACTCAAGAGGCTGAGGCAGTAGGATTGCTTAAGCCCAGGAGTTTGAGGTTGCAGTGACCTGTGATGATGCCATTGCACTCAAGAACAGGTAACAGAGTGAGACCCCCCCCCAAAGTGCTAAAAAATTGTGTGTGCTTTATTGACTTAAATGACTTTATTCTGAAAGAATGACTTACCATAGCTGAATCAGGTATTCTTCAGCATTTGCTGTGATGATACTGTTCTTGTAGAAATAATAATTTCTTTTACTCAGTTGCTGGGTACATAAGGAATCCATATGTGTGTTATGTATTAGTTTCTATTGTTGCTGTACAAAATTACCACAAATTTTATTGCTTAAAACAATAAAATGTATCATATTACAGTTGTGTAGATCAGAAGTCCAATATGGGTTTTATCGAGCTGAAATCAAAGTATCAGCAGGAATGCATTTCGTTCTTGTGGTGCTAGAGGAGAGTCCATTTCTAGACACTGCCCACGTTAAGTGGATCATGGCCCTCTTTGTCCATCTTCAAATCCAGCAACAATGCATTCCTGACCATTCTTCAGTAGTCACAGCTCCCTCCAACCATGGCCAGGAAAGGTTCTGTCCCATCCAGATAAGACAGGATAACCCCCCCTTCACAAGTACTCTAGTTTAATCACATCTGCAAATTACCTTTTGCCATGTCAGGTAACATACTTGCAGATATTGGGAATTGTGGAATGGGCATCTTTAATTGGCCATTATTCTGCCTACTACAGGTTGGCTGCTTGGAGAAAATTATGTAGTCTAGCAGTACCACTTGTGGCCAAAGAGGGCTTTATACCAGGAGTTTAAGCTTCATTGATAAGATGATTTAATCCAAGACAAAGTGATTAACAAACTTCTAAAAGTCACTAACAAAAGCACTGAATTAATAATTTTATCCTTAATTTTTACTGTAATTTTAATTATGAAAACAGAAACCCAAACAAAAGAATTCAAATCTGACAAGGGACTTGTACCCAGAATACATAAAGAACTCTTCCAACTCAATTATAAAATGACAAATAACACAATTAAAAATGGGCAAAAATGTAAATAGAGATTTCTTCAAGGAAAATATAAAAATGACTAATAAACCCATGAAAAGATTTTCAACATCATTACTTATTTGGGAAATGCAAATCAAAATCACAAGATAACACACAGATGACTAAAATCAAAAGGTAAGATAACAAAAAGTGTTGGGAGAAATTAGAACCCTGTTACACTGCTGGTGGGAACATAAAATAGTGCAGTCACTTTGTACAACAGTCTGGAAGTTCCTCAACTAATTAAACGTAGAAATGCCATCTGACCCAGAAATTCCTCTTAGAGAAATTAAAACATATGTCCATATGAATATTTGTACATGAATGTTCATAGTAGCATTATTCATAATAGCCAAAAGTTGGAAATGTCTACCCCAATGTCCATCAAAGGATGAATGAATAATCAAAATGTGATATACCTGTACAATGGAATATTATTGGGCCATAAATAGAAATGAAGTATTGATACATGCTACAACTTGAATGAACCTTGAAAGCATTATGCTAAGTGGAAGAAGTCAGTCACAAAAGTCCACATATTATTCCGTTCATATGAAAGTCCTGAATAGGATACTCTATAGAGACAGAAAGTAGAACAGTTCTTGCTAAGGGCAAGAGGGATGGGAAAATTGGAGGGGGGGGAGGAAGAATGATAGTTAAAGTATACAGAATTTCTTCTGAGATGATGAAAATGTTCTAAAATCATGATGATGGATGCACAACTCTGTGAATATCTTAAAAGCCATTAAATTGTATATGCTAAATGGGTGAATTGTATGGTTTGTGAGTTATATACCATTAAATCTGTTTTTTAAAAAGGATAAAACAAAAATTATTCTTGTCATGATAAAATATAAAAGGAAACCAAAAGTGTGACAGGCCCAACTTTGAGATCTGCAAATTTAGTAAATAATTTTCCAATAATGTGAAAGTTGTGAAAACTCTTTCTGTGAAACAGTTCCCAGGCTTAGGTGTTGGAAAGGAGAGGAAGTAGTCTATTCTTTCATAAAGCATTGGCTAAATACTCTCTTTAGAACTATCACTGATTGCAATTTTGAAATGCCTACTCATAGTGTCTATGATATGTACCCTGGAAAAGACGTACTTGTGAAACCGTCCTCATGTTGCTTCAGAAACATTTTGCTCCCAAATGTATACTCCTCTCAGCTTAAATGTTAAATTATTTTATGTAATCAATAACACCTCAACAGCATCAGACAGTAACATAAGTGAAAGTTTGCTCTTTGCAATCCTCCCTGTGCAACACCACAGAGCTCTGTCTACACACACAACAGCCATATGAAAATAGAACCCAGCGTTTCATGTTGCATAGTCTATATTCAGTACATCCAGAATTTTGCCTCCAGTATTAAACCAGAAAATAGTGAAACGCGTGGTGGCGCTGCAGGCTAAGATAATGGAAATCAGAATTGCCTAGGCAGCTCCAGTATCCAGCCAAACCGTTTCGCACCGCGCCTGGAAGCAAAAGAAGAGCTTTCTCAGCCAGAGCAAAAGAAAGAGTGAAGCTTCTTTAAAACGCCTTTCAACGGCTTCGTTCTGACGTTCTGGACTGCAGGATCGTGCTACCAGGATCCTGGACATACCTAAAGCTCCTGTGGACCAAATTTTAAGGAAAGAGCAATGGAGATCGGATGGATGCGCAATCAGAAACAAAGGCAAGTCCTCGTTTTCTTTGTTTTGCTGAGCGTGCCTGGGGTGGGCGCCGAGTTGGGGCCCTATTCTGTAGTGGAAGAAACGGAGAGAGGCTCTTTTGTGGCAAATCTAGGAAAAGACCTCGGATTGGGGTTGACAGAGATGTCCACCCGGGGAGTCCGGATCATTTCCCAGGGGAACAAGGAGCATTTGCAGCTCGCGGGTCAAACTGGGGATTTGCTCATAAATGAGAAACTAGATCGAGAGGAATTATGTGGTCCCACTGAGCCATGTGTACTATATTTCCAAGTGTTAATGGAAAAACCCTTAGAAATATTTCAGGCTGAACTGAGGGTGAGAGATGTAAATGACAATTCTCCTGTGTTTACTGAAAAAGAAATGCTTCTTAAAATTCCGGAAAACAGTCCTCTAGGAAATGCATTTCCTCTGAATAATGCTGTGGACCTGGATGTAGGAAGCAATAATGTTCAAACCTACAAAATCAGCCCCAATTCTCATTTCCGGGTTCTAACCCGAGAACTCAGAGATGGCAGGAAATACCCAGAGCTGGTGCTGGATAAGGAGCTGGATCGGGAAGAGGAGCCTGAACTAAGATTAATCCTGACTGCGCTGGATGGCGGCTCGCCGCCCCGGTCTGGGACAGCCAAGGTTCGCATTGAAATAGTGGACACCAATGATAACGCCCCGGAGTTTGAGCAGCCTGTCTACAAGGTGCAGATTCCGGAGGACAGACCTGTTGGCTCCCTGGTTGTCACTGTCGTCGCCAGAGATTTAGACAGTGGAGTCAACGGAAAAATATCCTACACACTCTTTCAGCCTTCAGATGATATGAGCAAAACTTTGGAGGTAAATCCTAGGACAGGAGAAATTCGACTGAGAAAACAAGTAGATTATGAGACGGTACTGTCTTATGAAGTGGATATCAAGGCCACGGACGGGGGAGGTCTTTCAGGAAAATGCACTCTCCTCCTGCAGGTCGTGGATGTGAATGATAACCCCCCAGAAGTGACCATGTCTGCACTCACCAGCCCCATCCCAGAGAACTCACCTGAGACTGTAGTTGCCGTTTTCAGTGTTTCAGATCCTGACTCGGGTAACAATGGGAAGACAATCTCCTCCATCCAGGAAGACCTTCCCTTTCGTCTAAAACCTTCAGTCAAGAACTTTTACACTTTGGTAACGGCGAGAGCACTCGACAGAGAGGCAAGAGCTGAATACAACATCACCATCACCGTGACTGACTTGGGGACACCCAGGCTGAAAACACAGCTCAACATAACCGTGCTGGTCTCCGACGTCAACGACAACGCCCCCGCCTTCTCCCAAAGCTCCTACACCCTGTTCGTCCCCGAGAACAACAGCCCCGCCCTGCACATCGGCAGCGTCAGCGCCACAGACAGAGACTCGGGCGCCAACGCCCAGGTCACCTACTCGCTGCTGCCGCCCCGCGACCCGCACCTGCCGCTCGCCTCGCTGGTCTCCATCAACGCGGACAACGGGCAGCTGTTCGCCCTGAGGTCGCTGGACTTCGAGGCCCTGCGGGCGTTCGAGTTCCGCGTGGGCGCCGCAGACCGAGGCTCCCCCGCGCTGCGCAGCGAGGCGCTGGTGCGCGTGGCGGTGCTGGACGACAACGACAACCCGCCCTTCGTGCTGTACCCGCCGCAGAACGGCTCGGCGCCCTGCACCGAGCTGCTGCCCAGGGCGGCAGAGGCCGGCTACCTGGTGAGCAAGGTGGTGGCGGTGGACGGCGACTCGGGCCAGAACGCCTGGCTGTCGTTCCAGCTGCTCAAGGCCACGGAGCCCGGGCTGTTCAGCGTGTGGCCGCACAATGGCGAGGTGCGCACCGCCAGGCCGCTGGGCGAGCGCGACGCGGCCAGGCACAGGCTGGTGGTGCTGGTGAGGGACAGTGGCGAGCCCGCGCTGTCTGCCAGCGTCACGCTGCACGTGCTGCTGGTGGACGGCTTCTCGCAGCCCTACCTGCCGCCGCCGGAAGCGGCCCCGGCCCAGGCCCAGGCCGACTCGCTCACCGTCTACCTGGTGGTGGCCTTGGCCGCGGTGTCGTCGCTCTTCCTGTTCTCGGTGCTGCTGTTCGTGGCGGTGCGGCTGTGCAGGAGGGACCGGGCGGCCTCGGGGGGTCGCTGCTCGGTGCCTGAGGGCCGCTTTCCGGGCCACCTGGTGGATGTCAGCGGCGCGGGGACCCTGTCCCAGAGCTACCAGTATGAGGTGTGTCTGACGGGAGGATCAGGGACCAGCGAGTTCAAATTCTTAAAGCCGGTTATCCCTAATTTCCAGTCACAGGGCACTGGGAGGAATAGTGAAGAAAATCCCATGTTTTGAAATATCTTTGGGTATCATTTTCAGTAAAAATCTGTGTATATTTTCACGTACTTTTGTAATGTTATACAACCATATCAATATTAATTTTAAACTAGTTATGCAATTCAAGTAATTTTTAATTACTACATATCTACATTTTTCAATGTTATTTTATCCCTTTTTGCATTAATTAACAACTAGTTTTGATTGAATGAGTACCTATTTCTAAAAAATAATTTCAAGGTTTGAATCCTTTCCAAGTGTACAAGGATTTGTTTATTATCATTTCTCATTCTGGAAAACTGAAGTTTTGATTTTTCTCCTAGTATGTTTCCGAGACTCAATCTCATGGTCCTAACCACCTGTCTATTGTACTTCCTTCTTGTGAGAAGTCATATCTGCCCTTGGAAGCTTATTCTAACGTTCTATTTATTCATTTAAAAAGCAATGCCATCTAATTTTAAATCCCAACATTAGAAAGAAATATTTCTTTATTAATATGGTAGATATTTCATGGTAGATGAAATGTTATTGTATGATCAATATTGGACTCCAATAATATCTTTGTGTTTGTATTATTTTCTTTTCTTTAAATATACTGTTCTTATTTGGCTAATATTTTCTATGTTCTCTTTTGTTGATTATATATATATATATATGTGTATATATATATGCACACAGATTGTGTCTCATAATCCCCGCAAAATAATATACTGCATGAAAATAAATGCACATTTTGAAACATTTTGAAAATTTGTGTGTGAAAATATTGGTGGACTGTTGGAAAGATATTGACTTTTCATTTTATTTTATAAATGTATTTAATTACTGTCAAATTTTAAATTAAGATGAACTAAATGTTACAAAGAAAAACAATAGTTTCTTCAATCTCTAGTGTATTTCATTGGAGTGACTTCTAGAATTATCTCAATATTTCTAAATATGTGTTTACTATTATATCTTGACATTCAGTTTTATACTTTAATCACTTCTTGCTGCTAGAAAAAAAAGATTTAACTTTCTCTGTAACTAACAACATATGTGTGGACACTGTATATTCTCTTTCTCCTATTCTCCCAATAGAATTGCTAGTTTTTAAAAAGTTGAACTAGTCTTGTTAGTATCCATAATGCTAAGATTTCTTCAATATATGCATTAGAGTAGAATGATTACATTTCTTGAAAATATTTTTCCTAGAACTGAAAATTGTTTTGTACTTGCATAATTTTCTATGTCCTGCTATTGATGTTTTACATTATCTCTCATTTGAATTTCAATCTTTCTCCATAAAATATTCAAATGTGTCAGATACATATCAATTATGTTTATTTCTTAGAGCTCTTTCACCTAGATCTCTGCTTCATTTACATTTGTTGTTCTAAAGGTTGTCACCCTATGACTTTTTTAAAAAATATATTTCTGTGCTGCTCTCCTTTTACAAGCTCTAGTATGTTCTTAGTTTACTCCCTTATTTAGCTGATACATATCTCTCCATACCTTCATAAAAATGGATGCAGAGAAAGTAAATCTTTTTGAAAGCTTGCATTAGGAAATTATCTTCTTTTCATTTCAGTTGACTGATAGTTTGATTGGGTATAAAATTATAGGTTGAAAATACTTTTCCCTCAGGTTTCAAAAGCACTGTTACTTTTATTGACTGCATATAGAGTTGTTCAGAAGGCTGATTCCAATGTCTTTTTGTGTGATCCCTTTTTTTTCTTTCTTTCTTTCTGGAAGCTTTGATAAACTTTCCCTGATGTTCTCAAAATACCTTAGTACTGGCTATTTATATATTTATTAAATTAATGTGGTCACATGAATGTGCCCTATAAATATATATATATATTTTGAGATGAGGTCTCACTCTGATTGCCCAGTCTGGAGTGTCATGGCTATTCACAGGTGCAATCATGCACACTGCAGCCCCTAACTCCTGGCCTTAATAAGGACTCCTGCCTCAACCTTATGAGTAGCTGAGACTACAGGGATGTGCCACCACTCCTGATTGTTTATACTACCATTTTCAGTTCTGAGAAATTTTCTTGGTATGTTTTACTCATAATTTCTCCCTAGAGTTTTCTGCATTCTCACTTTAACCAAAACCTCAGTTAGATATTAGATTTCCTAGATTGCTTCTATAAGACTCTAAGCTTTTTTCCCTTTCTTATTTTCTATGTCTTTACCACTTTTCCCATTTTTTGGACAATTTATTTAATCATTCAATGTTTTATATTTAAGTTTTTCTTTAAGGCTCAAAAATATTTAGTTTTAAGAGCTTTTTTGTTTCTCTGAGTGTTTTTCATGGTATCCTGTTATAAACTTATAATATCTTCTCTCATCTATAATTAATCTATTTATTCTTTAAAATGTATTATGTAAAAATGTGATATGTAGTATTACTATTATATATTCATTTTTAAAATAAAAGTGAGTCACGGGGAAGTTAAAAACTTGTACAAGGTTGTATAGCTTGTAAAGGGCACTTAAGGCCTAGCCTACTGTTTATCTTATAATAAGAATACATATTTCATACAGTTACTATTAAGATTAAATGGGTAAATACACATGAAGCACTTAGAAAAATGGGTGGTATGGAATAAATTCTAAATAAATATTAGCTCTTACTAGACTTTATTTCTCTGTGGATATTAATCAGATATTTTCAAAGGCTTTCTTCTGTTTTCTGTATTTGTCTATCATTGTTCCTTTTTTTTTTTTTTGGTAGATAGTTTCTATTTTATGTTGTAAGCATTTCCTTAAATGCCTTGTGGTCCTTGGCTATCTTCTCATATTTTAGAAGGATGACATATCAAAATGCTGACAGTTGACTTTTTGTGAGTGAACAGGGCCTGCTGATGGCAGGGCTTTATTCTAATGTAATCATGCGGGTAAGGCAATTACCTTGGGAGACCCCCAAATGTCAGTATGTGTAAGTCTTTATTTGGGATGTTCATATTCTCTGAGTTAGAATTTTATAACATCCGCTGTGTGGAGGTGGGATGGGACTCAGGCATATACTTTGTATTCTACAATCTGAAAACAGTGCATATGAAGGGGCTAGAAGTCTCACCATTCAGAATGCAAAGTTTTGCTACTCTCCCTACCTTTAGTTTCACACTTTACATTGTGCTCAATTCTGTCTGGGTCTTCAAGAGTAGAGAAAGTCCCATTTAATTTTTCCAGAGAATAAACTTTTCATTCTCTGGCCCTGAGTTACTTTTCTGTCTATGTAGGATGGTGAAAGGAACAGAGAATTCAACTCTCCCTTATATATACCTCCAACTAATAACTTTTTTTTCAGTCCTTAACTGACTTCAGTCTTATTACGCATCTGGTTCCTCCAAATCTTTTACCTAAATGAGATTCTGTGGACAAAACCCACTAGTTTCTTGTGAGTATCTTCAATGCAGGAACTTCAGACATTTCTTGGAACTAAGTCAATTGCTCTTTCATGTGTTTCCTGTTATCAAAAAATAGCTATTCACTTGTGCATTCTTAGTCTTTGTTAGCTCTTTTCATTTTTATTACTTTTCTGTCAATTTAGTGGGTATTTTAAAAGGAGGGAGGATAACTCTATATAGTCAAATTTTCAATTTCTACTTTTCTGTACCAATTTTTCAACCATATATCTAGCTTGCATTTTTAAGAACATTATTTGAACTTAACATTTAAAAAATGCAAACTTGTTAGATCCCTCCTCCACCCATTCTTAGGGTACTTTAAGATCTTCTATAGTGGACATCGTTGATGAGATCCTAGCATCTATTCCAAACAATTTCCCTCATTATGCAGCAACAATGTGCTTTGGCTAGTACTGAAACCACCGCAAGCTTAAAAGGTAGTCTGAGACAGGATTAAACTAAAGTAAGGGCCAAAGATAGGTCTTTGGATTTTGGAACTAAAATCTCTACCTATAATTCTATACATCTTGAAACAATGATTGCTTTGGTGGCAGACACATGTTCTTAGTTGGTCTAATCAGAGTGAAAATTACATTTGGGGAAAGAATTTCTCTCACTTTCACTTCCTGGGTGGAAAGAGAAAGCAGATTTCCATAGTTGATGCTAGAATAAATCCTTGGAACCTGGGAGAAGCCAGCTTTAGGAGTAAGAGTCTGCTTTAAATGAAACTAACATGTTCATGCTTGTGTACTTAGGAAATTTTCTGTAAATTATGAAAAACTGGAACTAAATTATGGACCTATTTAATGTGTTCCACCCTATATCTTCCTTCATTATCTACCACTTCACAATTCATCGTTATTAAGGAAATCATTGTTATTAAAAATATATCTTCTTGTGCTGTAGAAACTATTTAAATGTCTCATCTCATGGTTAATTCACTTTCATAACTTCTGAAACGACCCAACTATGTTTGCCCTTTCTCTTACCACCTAAGGAAGGCCAAGTAGTGATGGAAATTTATTCAGATTAACAATCAGTTATACCCTCCTGGTTTTGGGATAACTATTTTCTCAGAAAGATTACAAACTCCCCGGGACCAGGAATCTCATCTTGTATGTCTGTCTATTCACCGCAACCAAGTACAATTGTTTGTGTGGAGAGTGGGGAAAGATACTGAATAAATGCTTTAAAACAAATACAAACATCATCACAAACTATAAAAAATATAAAACAATTGTTCTGAAATATAGGATATATCTGTAATTGCTTAAACACAATGGATGACTTAAATACAGTATTTGTTTCTGGGGAACATTTATGTCAACGAAATGTAGGTAGCTTTCATCAAACTGTGAAAACCTGTGGAGACGCATGGTGGCGCTGCAGGATAATATCGCGAAAAAACTTACTCTGGCTGATGCCGTGGACCCTGTTACCCAGCGCGCACAGAGAATTGGGAAGACAGACACGCCTTCAAGGGATAACCTAGTAGCCATTCAGCGGGGTTAAACTCCTCGGGCTTACCTTCTGATCTGGTGGACAGATCAGGGAGGCACATTTCCCAGAACTGGGAAGTGGAGCTGAAGCGATTCTGCAAGAAGCACTCGGGGAAGGAGCTATGGAGAACGGAGGGGCAGGCACTCTGTGGATAAGGCAAGTCCTGCTTCTCTTTGTTTTGCCGGGAATGTCTCAGGTGGGCTCCGAGCCTGGGCGCTTTTTGGTGGCTGAGGAAATGCAGAGCGGAAGCTTTGTCGGCAATGTGGCAAAGGACCTGGGACTGGAGGTGGCCGAGCTGTCTGCGCGGGGAGCTCGGGTGGTCTCTAATGATAACAAACAGCGTTTGCGGTTGGACACAAACACTGGGGATTTGCTGTTAAGCGAAACGCTAGACCGGGAGGAGCTCTGCGGCTCCGCCGAGCCTTGTGTACTGTATTTCCAGGTGTTGATGAATAATCCCATGCAGTTTTTACAGATTGAACTTGAGGTCAGGGATATAAATGATCACTCTCCTGTATTCTTGGAAAAAGAAATGCTCTTAGAAATCCCAGAGAATAGTCCTGCTGGTGCTGTGTTCTTGCTAGAAAGTGCAAAGGATTTAGATGTAGGTGTCAATGCTGTAAAAAGCTACACAATAAGCCCCAACTCTCATTTCCACATTAAAATGAGAGTCAATCCAGACAATAGGAAATACCCAGAGTTAATTCTGGACAAGGCTCTGGATTATGAAGAGGAGCCCGAGCTCAGTTTCATCCTCACTGCTGTGGACGGTGGGTCCCCTCCCAGGTCTGGGACAGCCTTGGTTAGGGTGGTGGTCGTGGACATTAATGACAACACCCCCGAGTTTGAGCAGACGTTTTATGAGGTGAATATTCCAGAAAACAGTGTACTTGGCTCACTAGTTGTCACCGTCTCGGCTTGGGACTTAGATTCTGGAATAAATGGGGAAATATCATATACCTTTTCCCATGCCTCGGAAGAAATTCGCAAGACATTTGAAATTAATCAAAAGTCAGGGGAAGTTAGTTTAAAAGCATCCTTGGACTTTGAAGCAATGGATTCATACTCAATAATCATTCAAGCCACAGACGGGGGAGGACTGTTTGGAAAATCAACAGTCAGAATTCAGGTGATGGATGTGAATGACAATGCTCCTGAAATAGCCGTGTCATCAATTACCAGTCCAATCCCAGAAAATTGGCCTGAAACTGTGGTTATGGTTTTTAGTATCCGAGACAAAGACTCTGGGGAAAATGGAAAGATGGTTTGTTCTATCCCGGAAGATCTCCCATTCCTGCTAAAATCTTCAGTTGAGAATTACTACACGTTGGAAACTGAGAGCCCACTAGACAGAGAGATTAGAGCCGAGTACAACATCACCATAACCGTCACGGACTTGGGGACACCCAGGCTGAAAACTGAGTACAGCATAACTGTGCTAGTATCAGACGTCAACGACAACGCCCCCGCCTTCTCCCAACCCTCCTACACTCTGTTCGTCCCCGAGAACAACAGCCCCGCCCTGCACATCGGCAGCGTCAGCGCCACAGACAGAGACTCGGGCTCCAACGCCCAGGTCACCTACTCGCTGCTGCCGCCCCGCGACCCGCACCTGCCGCTCGCCTCGCTGGTCTCCATCAACGCGGACAACGGGCAGCTGTTCGCCCTGAGGTCGCTGGACTTCGAGGCCCTGCGGGCGTTCGAGTTCCGCGTGGGCGCCGCAGACCGAGGCTCCCCCGCGCTGCGCAGCGAGGCGCTGGTGCGCGTGGCGGTGCTGGACGACAACGACAACCCGCCCTTCGTGCTGTACCCGCCGCAGAACGGCTCGGCGCCCTGCACCGAGCTGCTGCCCAGGGCGGCAGAGGCCGGCTACCTGGTGAGCAAGGTGGTGGCGGTGGACGGCGACTCGGGCCAGAACGCCTGGCTGTCGTTCCAGCTGCTCAAGGCCACGGAGCCCGGGCTGTTCAGCGTGTGGCCGCACAATGGCGAGGTGCGCACCGCCAGGCCGCTGGGCGAGCGCGACGCGGCCAGGCACAGGCTGGTGGTGCTGGTGAGGGACAGTGGCGAGCCCGCGCTGTCTGCCAGCGTCACGCTGCACGTGCTGCTGGTGGACGGCTTCTCGCAGCCCTACCTGCCGCCGCCGGAAGCGGCCCCGGCCCAGGCCCAGGCCGACTCGCTCACCGTCTACCTGGTGGTGGCCTTGGCCGCGGTGTCGTCGCTCTTCCTGTTCTCGGTGCTGCTGTTCGTGGCGGTGCGGCTGTGCAGGAGGGACCGGGCGGCCTCGGGGGGTCGCTGCTCGGTGCCTGAGGGCCGCTTTCCGGGCCACCTGGTGGATGTCAGCGGCACGGGGACCCTGTCCCAGAGCTACCAGTATGAGGTGTGTCTGACGGGAGGATCAGGGACCAGCGAGTTCAAATTCTTAAAGCCGGTTATCCCTAATTTCCAGTCACAGGGCACTGGGAGGAATAGTGAAGAAAATCCCATGTTTTGAAATATCTTTGGGTATCATTTTCAGTAAAAATCTGTGTATATTTTCACGTACTTTTGTAATGTTATACAACCATATCAATATTAATTTTAAACTAGTTATGCAATTCAAGTAATTTTTAATTACTACATATCTACATTTTTCAATGTTATTTTATCCCTTTTTGCATTAATTAACAACTAGTTTTGATTGAATGAGTACCTATTTCTAAAAAATAATTTCAAGGTTTGAATCCTTTCCAAGTGTACAAGGATTTGTTTATTATCATTTCTCATTCTGGAAAACTGAAGTTTTGATTTTTCTCCTAGTATGTTTCCGAGACTCAATCTCATGGTCCTAACCACCTGTCTATTGTACTTCCTTCTTGTGAGAAGTCATATCTGCCCTTGGAAGCTTATTCTAACGTTCTATTTATTCATTTAAAAAGCAATGCCATCTAATTTTAAATCCCAACATTAGAAAGAAATATTTCTTTATTAATATGGTAGATATTTCATGGTAGATGAAATGTTATTGTATGATCAATATTGGACTCCAATAATATCTTTGTGTTTGTATTATTTTCTTTTCTTTAAATATACTGTTCTTATTTGGCTAATATTTTCTATGTTCTCTTTTGTTGATTATATATATATATGTGTATATATATATGCACACAGATTGTGTCTCATAATCCCCGCAAAATAATATACTGCATGAAAATAAATGCACATTTTGAAACATTTTGAAAATTTGTGTGTGAAAATATTGGTGGACTGTTGGAAAGATATTGACTTTTCATTTTATTTTATAAATGTATTTAATTACTGTCAAATTTTAAATTAAGATGAACTAAATGTTACAAAGAAAAACAATAGTTTCTTCAATCTCTAGTGTATTTCATTGGAGTGACTTCTAGAATTATCTCAATATTTCTAAATATGTGTTTACTATTATATCTTGACATTCAGTTTTATACTTTAATCACTTCTTGCTGCTAGAAAACAAAGATTTAACTTTCTCTGTAACTAACAACATATGTGTGGACACTGTATATTCTCTTTCTCCTATTCTCCCAATAGAATTGCTAGTTTTTAAAAAGTTGAACTAGTCTTGTTAGTATCCATAATGCTAAGATTTCTTCAATATATGCATTAGAGTAGAATGATTACATTTCTTGAAAATATTTTTCCTAGAACTGAAAATTGTTTTGTACTTGCATAATTTTCTATGTCCTGCTATTGATGTTTTACATTATCTCTCATTTGAATTTCAATCTTTCTCCATAAAATATTCAAATGTGTCAGATACATATCAATTATGTTTATTTCTTAGAGCTCTTTCACCTAGATCTCTGCTTCATTTACATTTGTTGTTCTAAAGGTTGTCACCCTATGACTTTTTTAAAAAATATATTTCTGTGCTGCTCTCCTTTTACAAGCTCTAGTATGTTCTTAGTTTACTCCCTTATTTAGCTGATACATATCTCTCCATACCTTCATAAAAATGGATGCAGAGAAAGTAAATCTTTTTGAAAGCTTGCATTAGGAAATTATCTTCTTTTCATTTCAGTTGACTGATAGTTTGATTGGGTATAAAATTATAGGTTGAAAATACTTTTCCCTCAGGTTTCAAAAGCACTGTTACTTTTATTGACTGCATATAGAGTTGTTCAGAAGGCTGATTCCAATGTCTTTTTGTGTGATCCCTTTTTTTTCTTTCTTTCTTTCTGGAAGCTTTGATAAACTTTCCCTGATGTTCTCAAAATACCTTAGTACTGGCTATTTATATATTTATTAAATTAATGTGGTCACATGAATGTGCCCTATAAATATATATATATATTTTGAGATGAGGTCTCACTCTGATTGCCCAGTCTGGAGTGTCATGGCTATTCACAGGTGCAATCATGCACACTGCAGCCCCTAACTCCTGGCCTTAATAAGGACTCCTGCCTCAACCTTATGAGTAGCTGAGACTACAGGGATGTGCCACCACTCCTGATTGTTTATACTACCATTTTCAGTTCTGAGAAATTTTCTTGGTATGTTTTACTCATAATTTCTCCCTAGAGTTTTCTGCATTCTCACTTTAACCAAAACCTCAGTTAGATATTAGATTTCCTAGATTGCTTCTATAAGACTCTAAGCTTTTTTCCCTTTCTTATTTTCTATGTCTTTACCACTTTTCCCATTTTTTGGACAATTTATTTAATCATTCAATGTTTTATATTTAAGTTTTTCTTTAAGGCTCAAAAATATTTAGTTTTAAGAGCTTTTTTGTTTCTCTGAGTGTTTTTCAT